TTCATCTGATCTGGATTGTACTTTTTATTGCGCATATGTCAAGCACATGCGCGAGTTTTTACAATGATATACATATATATATATATATTATTAAAAGAGCTGGTTTCTATACGTGGTAGAGCCATGCTGCAGCTATATTAGTAGTATAGTTGTAGCACGAATGGGTCGGCTCAACCGAGGAAGGACCACGCTCTCCCAGAATCCCAGCGTAAAATAGCAGCTTAACACTGCTGTGTTTAGTATGGTGAGTGTAGTGAACCAGAGACCCTTTTTACTGGAAAAGAGGCATTCCATCTTAGTTTTATTAGTCCTCAAGGATGACAACACATCTGCATTTTGATTCTTTATTGAGGATATATGTAGATGTCTATGAGTCACAGCAACCACTTATCGTCAGGTGTTCGTTTGTCAGCCTATCGTATAAGAAAATATATTTTTGGGTTGCTATTTGAGGCGCGCTGAAAACTTGTCAAATACCTACCCAAAAATGTCTACCAGCTCCCAGACTATTTGCTGCCTCTGTGTCAATGTCAGGAAATTTATTGGAAAGTCAGGTATATTGCCAAGCAAACTCCTTGTGGGATCTGGTAACACTATCTTCACCGATACGTAAGGTTCTAAAGGTCTAAGATGACCTGTAGTTAAATCGTCATCATCATTACAGCCCTCCACAAGTCCACTGCTGAACATAGGTGTCCCCCAAGGAATGTCACAAAACACGGTCCTGAACCACCTGCATCCATCGAGAACCTGCATGTCTTACCAGGTCGTCACTCCATGTCTTACACTTCACCTACCGTTACGAGGTTGCCACTCGAAAACAGTTTTTCCCCATTGGTTGTGATCTTTGAGCTATATGGCCAACCGATTGCCACTTCAGCTTACTGTATCCGTTGGGATATGTTGGTCACTCTGGTTCCACTGCAGATATTCTTATTTCTAAGTTTAGCATGCAGGGAAACCTCGAGCATAGTTCTCTGCATAGCCCCCTGAGCGACCTTCAGCTTCCTCATACGGCAGCAAGTAGTTAAATACAAATTAGTAAATTTTGAACCAAAATTTTCTCTACCACAAATTCAAATCAGTAAGCATAATTGACGATTGTGAGCTTAGAGGTCTGCGTTTCCATTTGCTCACAATAATTAATTATAATTATATCCTTTAAAAAACTGCATTTAATAAACCGATGTACTCATTGAGGTGCGACAGCGCGTATGCGGCATTGCTTATTATACAACTTTTAAGACAGAGGTTACAATGACCGTTGAAAGCGATTTAAGACGAGTGCTGATCTTCATATTTATTTATATAATTCTTCTAATATTTAAGCCGTGTTTAAAATCGGCCAAGAGCCCGTTTATCTAAAAGATAGCGCCAAGGCAAATAAATACTGTTTTAGAGTAAAATAAATGAATAAAATCAAAGTGTCTCTTTGTAATGTCAAAATAACAGCTTTTCACTAAATACATATGAAAGCATATTCGATAATCATAACAAGAAATAAACAATTTTTAAATTTTTTATCTGTCTGTCTTTCTGTCTGTCTATCTGTCTGTTTGTTTCTGCGAATCTAATATACGGCTGGACCAATATTTATGTTATAAGGAGTAACAGGCCAATTTTATTAATTTTAAAAAAAGAATTAGGGTTCCGCGCAAAAAATTTAAAATCCATGAAATCCAATCTTAATATTCTACGCGGACGAGGTCGCATGGAACAGCCGGTATTAAATATATCTAATTATTGAAAGTTATGTGGTATTATGTGGTATAACTTTCAATAATTAGATATATTTAATACCGGCTGTAGCCCGAGGGCCCCGTATCATTGATACGACTGATACGGCGGTAGCTACGCCCCTGCCTAAACATGAACTCGGCATCATCTAGACTCTGCATGTAGTTTAACCTTCTAATGTTTCGTGAAGAAGCGCGTTGTCTATTTTCAGTTTCGCTATCAGTATCCCAATTGGATAATTGAGCCAGCACCCCCAAATCACTGTCATCACTATCACTGTTAAATATCGATATTTCTATTTTCTTCTTTTAATAAAATTAACGCTGTGACGAAGTCTCCTGTATTTCTTGGATTATAATTCTAATCGTTCACACCGATCAAAACGAAATGTCAAAATCTACAGATAGGTTATTAACACGCAAGTGCGTAATCATTTGATACGCCCTCATTACGATATCAGCATCTCAAGGTCGTTGCTAATTAATAAATACATAAAAACCGTATCTCAAAACGCTGTACTTAGGAATACTGTTCTGTGACAATTGAGAGTCGAGTTTCGTTTATTAATCAGTGTGGAACTCAGCTGATATCGTAAACCTAAACCGCATCTTGAGACATGTTTATGAATAACATCATAACCTCAAGATTATACTCAAGTGCGTGTACTTGAGCTGAGTAACGTTTATTAATACGGGCCTTAGATAGCTGAAATTGGAATCAGGATTGATTATTAATTTCGGGCGTTAGTTCATTCAAAAAATACAATCGTAAATTAAAGTCGACGGGTCCTAACACTTTATTTCTTGTATACACTACGGTCTAAGGAACTTGAAATTATTGCATGCTTTTAGATCTCTGCGTTCGAGGTAGGGATGATCGATGATCATCGATCATCAAAAATGAAAACATCGATGTTGCCACATGTCAAACATCGAAACATCGATGTCAATAAACCCATAATCGATTATTGGCTACTTGCGAAAACAGCAAACCCGCGAAATCAATATGAACTAAATCTTGCATCTCCTTTAAAATATTTAAAATTTTGAATAATTCAGAATGTTTGAACGCATCGATAACCTAAAAATATATCATTATGATGTAACAAATTTAACTATCAAGTGTCAAGTGTAATGTCGCAGTTGTCACTGATTTCGTTTTTTTATTGGTGTCGATGTTGGTTGTCTGGTATCTTTGTTGATTGTTTTTTAAAAAAAATCCGATGATTGATCTTAAACACGATCCACAGCACGTTTAGAACAATGTTATAGGTTCTACATATCTAAAATTAAAAAAAACTTGCGGTGAAATATTTGACCACAATTACTACATCAACGCCATCTGAGCAGTTATTTGCCGACTTAAAAAAGGAGGAGGTACGCATTTCGATTGTATGTTCTTTTTTTTTAATGTGTGTTACCTCATAACTTTTTCCTGGGTGAACCGATTTCGATGAATCTTTTTCTGTCCCCTATAAATTTGACCCATATAAGTCTGACCAATAGTTTTTGAGTTGTCCTTAATAATTTATATGAAGTCAGTTGTACAAAATTTTTATTTTTAAATTATTTTGATAGCTAGCTCAACTCTTTATCAACAGAGAAACAGTTTGAAAGTTACTGCTTTGTCAAAATTACTATTTCTTCAATCAATCGGCAAAAATATTTGACTATATAACAAATGAATTAGAAATTTGTGAACTTCTTCCAATTATTTTAATTACTGTTTTACACTACATTGTTTATTAATTTCTTTTATTTCATTAATTATAAACCATAAACAACATGACAAGTTTTTATTCATCTAATTCTAACTTATTAAATACAAGTGCCAAAAACATCGATAATGGTCAACATCGATGTTTTGAATAGGATAAATATCAAACCATGTTGAGCTATCGATGTCAACATCGATGTCACCATCGATGTTTCTTCAACATCGAGCATCCTTAGTTCGAGGATTTTAATCAAGTATACCGCAATAGATTAGATCTCCATCTCCATTCCATATTTTACTGAATTCATAATTGATACATTTGGTTGCATTCCCCGATTCCCCTATTGCCTCAAGCCCTTCTCCTACCCCAACAAGCGGCCTACCAACAACCCCTCATAGACACGACAACACAATCAAACCTCTCCAAACGAGCGGCTCTCAAAAATTATAACTAAAATCCACTTGATGTACCATCAAGATGTCAACCTAACAAGCAGGGTGACCATCTTTAAAATACAGTTCCTGCCGTACTTTGGTTAAAAACCTGCTAAATTCTGCCAAATTCTGTAGTGAAAAATGCCTAAATACTGCCAACTTTATTTACCATTGCATTAAACTAAGAAAATTAAAAATACACATATAAGTGCTATATTTTTTTAAATTAAAATTAAATATATCTTTCGTTGCTTTGAATTATAGATAAATAAATATATAGGTTTGAATGCAATGCAATCGCCATGCCTTGTTTAACGTACAAGACAGAGAGTAAATGTTTGTTTATAAATCTGTTTCGTGTTTTTGTCTTAATTAAATTTATTTGAGAGAATATTCTTTCGCATGTTGAATCCACTCATATTTTTTTTGATGTGTACTAGTAGCGGCATGTTGCTTTAAAGTGGACAGCCAAATGGCAGTTACACAGTCTGGATCATCTTTAGCTTTGGAGATCCATGATGAAAGTAAAAGATCTTGCTCACACTTCGCTCTATACGCCCTTTCATATTTTCGCTTCATCATCGCCACCTATAATTACTATCGTCCATGAAATATTATTAACAAGATATTTTCATCATGAAATCTAATGCGATACCAAACTAAAGTACGTCTCTTTTATGACTGATTGACATATTTACCAACCCGTGTTAATTCGTTTTAAGATTATCAACTTTATACACAAGTTGTTTATTGAAGGTGATACAAAAATAATACGAGAAATTGAGAAATACAGGGAAATCCCCGACATGCTGGCGAAGTATCTAGGCTTGCCACTTTCGCCATTTTAAGTTGCCATAATGAAATCCATTTTTATCACTCCAGTACTGCCAAATACTGCCAGATAACCAAAAATAAGACGAACGAATTCGAGTATGAGGTGTTTATTTAGCCCCGCAGAACTTACACAGAAAAAAGGCTAACAGCCTATACAGTGCATGGGAAAAATAAATACAGCGCAATTTAACTTTACTGTCGCGCCATCTAGTACAAATTTATAGAACTGTTACAACAAACTAAATAACAAATCAAGTTACTCAAACACTGACTTTCAGATTGTAGAAAGTGGAGCGTCAATAGTAACAGGCCGTATATACGCAAAGAAAAATGTGGGCCGAAATTATCGGGTACTTCCAGCTGTGCCTGAAGCAAGTGGGCCTAACATCAAACACATGCTTACTAAAGACTTTTACAAGGAACTTCGTCTTCGTGGTTACCAATACAGGTAAATGTATTTAAGATTATTTCCAAATAATTCAATAAAATAATTTGAACGTGTAATGGCAGCGTAGGGAAATCCACTACCCCATATCACTTGGCAGTCAACAGACAACAAAGACTAATAAAACAGGAGAAAGTCAATAGCATATTCCTGATAAAACTGCAGTTGCCAGCCAAGCGTGGCAACCATGGCAAGTATGAGGCAATCAAAGGTGAATCGGTGGACTTTTGGTAGGATGTTATGAATGAATTATTAAAAAAAATTAGGACATTATAGTACCTACATTATAGTACATTTTGTAAGTGGTAGAGGCATGCTGCAGCTATATTAGTAGTATAGTTGTAGCACGAATGGGTCGGCTCGACCGGGGAAGGACCACGCTCTCACAGAATACCAGCGTCAAATAGCAGCTTAACACTGCTGTGTTTCGTATGGTGAGTGTAGAGAACCGGAGACCCTTTTTACTGGAAAAGAGATATTCCATCTTAGTCCTCAAGGGTGACAACGTATCTGCATTTTGATTCGCAAACGAGGATAAATGTAGATGTCTATGAGCCACAGCAACCACTTACCATCAGGTGGACTGTGTGCTCGTTTGTGGTTTTTTATCATTATAGTGGACACCCGGTAATCCGACAAACATTTTGCAGGGCAGTGTCGGAATATCGAATTTGTCAGATTATAGAGTACTGCCTAAGACCCCCTATAGTTCGGAATTTTTTATAAAAGAGTACCTTGTAATCCGACAAATTCCAGAAACAATTATAAGATTCTATATGTTATATATGTACTATGAAGTACAAATTATACTTCATTATGTATGTCAAATTTAGTAAATTAAACAACACAATAGGGGGCTTACATTATATTATAAAATTAACGTCATTAATGCTATAGAACTTACATAAAATATGCAATAACTTTACATTAGGGAATAATTGTGTACAAACAAATGTACATACTAAAATAATCAAAAATTATGACTTGTTCAATCATGCATTTACGAAGATTGTCAAAAAATATGTAATAATAAATGATAGACCATGTCGGATTACAGGGGGTGCTGGATTAGACAGGGGCCGGATTGCCGGGGGTCCACTGTATTTTGTTCTGTTAAACTACTAGCGAATTCATTAACCCAGGAATAGTTTTCTTGATTAACTAATAAAAATGATAGAAATTATATCAATAAGTAAATCAATATTTTTTTCATCCATCAATCCATCCATTACAGTCTATAAAAGTCCACTGCTGAACATAGGCCTGTCCTAGTTTTGCTATAGTTGCCACGTTTAACGTTTCAAACAGTGGTAAAGCCACGCGGCAGCTTTCGCTGTCGCACGGATGGGCTGGCTCGAACCGGGGTGGTACCACGACCTCACAGAAAACCAGCGTGAAGTAGAGGTTTACCTCTGCGTTTCGCTTGGTGAGTGCACCTGGCCGGAGGCCCTTTTTACTGGAAATGAGGCATTCCATCTTAGTCCTCACGGGTGACAACGCATCTACATTTTGATTTGTAATAGAGGATATATGTAGATGTCCATGGGCCGCAGCAACCACTTACCATCAGGTGGACTGTGTGCTCGTTTGTCACCCTTATCCTATAAAAAAAAAAAAGTTAGGCAGGCAGGTTGGCAACCTTAGATTTTTATTATACATGTTATTAAAAACTTGCTGCTGCCATTTTATTGTTTCAGTTTCCCTCTGCCGCCACTTACGATATGATGGTTGGACGGTGTAGGCTAGTGGATATTCTTACATTGTCACTACAAGATTGCTGTTTTTGTTAGTTAACAATAATTCGTTTGCAGTGGTCTGTTCCGTGGTGTTATCGGATGCAACGTTGAAGGCACACGTGGCCGCCTTGCGTGGGTCAACAATTGGGTTACGTTTATGGACTGCATGCTCCAGCTCAAAATAGTAGGTCAAGACACACGTGGACTTTACGTACCGACCAGGATCGAGAAACTCTGCATCGATGCAAATATGCATTACAATGCTATTACCAAAATGAATCCTGACTCTACAAGACAATCGTTTGAGATTCGCGTATATCCAGACGTTGAAGTTATTAGGTAATGTATTGATAGAAGTAATTTAAATTAAGGCATCTCAGTTTTGCTTTACTAATGCAGCCAATTTCTTTTTTATTTATAGGGCCGGTGGTGTTGAAATCCGTGGCCTTCACGCTACACCTATTTCGAAGAAAATACCTCTTGGTATTCCTGTCCTCGAGAAAAATGAATTTGTTTCTAACTTTGGAAAAGGAAAAATGAAGGTATATAAATAATACTATAATTCACAACATCGTATCAAAAATCTATACTGAACATATACCTTCTCCATTTAAAAATCATAACATTAATTTTTTTAGTTTTCTTTTTGATATTTCATTTTAAAATCGTATATATACAGGGTAATTTTTAATTTACTGAAGATCTTTTGGGAACATATTATTTACATCATAACTACAACATCTGTAAGAAAATAAAATATATTTCTTCAATTTTTATTTTCATACAAAAATTAAAGTGTTTTAATTGGACCTTCTAAACGGTAATAGTTCTAGTATTAGCAAAGTGCGTGGTGGCGTAGGGGTGTGGGAGGCGGCGCTTCCTCATTTGAACTTGACTTAATTACCTATGTCGTCAGGGCAGTCGCCTCACAGAGTACCTTTGTATAAAAGTCGCCTCTGATGCGCCCGCGACGCTTGTCCTTCCCTTGTGAGAGATTAATATTGCGAACGTCGAAAATTTGAGATCATACTTTATTATTACCTATTATACATTTTAATATTTGTGATTTTTTTAATCTTATTAAATTATGTGTAATGATTTCAACACAATGTGTGATACTGATATAAAAAAAGGCATTTTCTTTGACGATTTATTCAGAAATTGTTTAGGTACTACAAAATATAGACTTACAAGGAATCAGACATGACAATAAAAATTTAAAAGTAGTTTTTTGTAAATGTATTATATTCTGTAAAGAGTGATTTCGCTAAAATTGTTTATAATGATGCAACCAATAGATTCCCAAAAGGTATTTAGGGAATTAAAAATGACCCTGTATATATATAAAAAAAGTCCCTTTTACCTCTTTTTTACTCTATCACACCAATTTGCCCTGCCTTTGTCATATTCATGCAATCCTGTCCATTCATTGGTTGTCTGAAAGAAATTGCTATCAGCAATAAGACCGCCCATTGCATACTTCTTTTATATATATAATTTCTGTAATTTATGTATGGTGTGAAATAAAAAATATTAAATAAATAAATGGACTAACGACCTGGGAAGACGTGAAGGAAGTCGATGGATGCAGGTGGCTCAGGACCGTGATTTGTGGCATTCCTTGGGGGAGGCCTTTGTTCAGTAGTGGACTTGTGAAGGGCTGTAATGATGACGATGATGATGATGATGATGAATTTTAAGTGCTGATTTACCACGTGATCGGCAGTTCACCGTGAAAAACATCGTGAGGAAACCTGCATGTCTAAAAAAATAAGAAAAATGTTCGAAGACATGTGAAGTTCGCCAACACGTATTGGGGCTGCGTGCCGGATATTTCCTTGCCTTAAAATCCTCTCCGAAATAGGGGAGGTCTATACCCAGCAGTAGGATGTATATAGGCTGTAACTTTAACTTTAACACATGCGAGATGGCGTCCGGCTTTCATCAGGGTCGAGATATGATCCTCCGGCAACGAAACAATGAGGAACCACTCGCCCGTTTGCTTACGTGCCTTGAGTATCCAGCGGTTTTGGTACGCCAGCATACGACCGATGTCGAGTGAGTCTTTCTATGCTTCTTGGGTATCAGGGATAAGGATACCACATTTGACTCTTTGTGGTATCTCTGACTGTTTCTTTATTATCAGTGAGGTGTTGGATTAAAGGTCGAGGGTATCTATATTCCCCTTCAACCAATCCAGAGCCTTCTGATCGTCGCACCACAGCCTCAGGACACCCCACGTGTAAACGGGTTTGCCTCTAAACTGGGCCCGACGCATCAGGGTACTGGCTACTCCAGGTCTCGCTGATCATTCTCCTCTGTATTGCCACGAGGATGTCGTTAGCTACCTCCTTTGTTATGTGACTTGAACACGCATACGTTAAGGCCACACACAAAACTGTTTTAGCAGCGGAAGCGTAACTGATTCTTATAGTCTTTGGATGCTGTTCAATTCGCAGTTTTTTGTGATCGCGTCTTGGTGAGGTGGACTCTTTCAATATCCTTTTGGCTGCTCTTTCCTTCTTACCAGGACCCTTGGCCGCTTGTTGCGTCCTGGCGGATGTCTTAAAGCTGGTCTCCGTGGCCGCGCCTTCCACTTGGGCTGGATTTTTAACCTTCCCAGTTTCAGCGCGGCTGCTGGTTCTGGCCTCAAGCACCTCAGTCGCAGTAGCTTGCCCAATCTCCTTGGTATTGGTCTTACAAGCACTCAGCGCGGCTTTTTCTACGACCTTTATCCCGCTGCTTCTTATTCTTCTTCTTGCCCTTTACACTACTACCTGCTGGAATAGACCCTCATAATGGTCCGTCAGGTCGGCAAGTCACCTTTTTAGGTGCATTGCCCTTCCGGCTCACTACTCGCCAGGCAGCAGAGAAAAGGTCGACGTTCTCTGGGGCTCCGCAGGAGTTTTAGTGCTCCTGGGCCCTTGCTCCTTTTTCGCGTCCAACTCCTCAGGTTTAGAACTGGTTTTCGGAACATCCAGCGCGGATGTTGTCCACCACGTGGGGCCAACTACGCTGGATAGTATAGACTGTGGAACCGTCGGTTTAATGGCGGTTCCTCCTTGATCATTGGTGTCTCTGGAAAGCACTTCTGGCACCTCTCCCTCTTTCCTAATGGGCCTTAAATTGTTCATATTTTTATGTGTTTAATATTCGTCTCCACTTCGTTCCCACCATCCATGGAGCCCGCACCTTTTATTTTTTTTAAGACTAGGAACGCAAAGTTGGCCCGGCGCGACACCAAGAGCTTGATCCAACTGGTAGATAGGGCTGAAAAGGCCTATCTCCACTACCCGAATAGACTGTCACTCGATCCGTCATCTCAGCCCACCTCCACCTAGCCCTTTTTCAGGAAAACTGAGCAGCCACCCCATCCGTTGCCTGTGACTCTCTGATGGGGCGCTTGGCCGTTTCCCTATCTGTGGCTAGCAGATAAGGCTACCGTTTAGCTTGAAATCCGGACCAAAGAGGGCGTGTTGCCTCTCGCCACTGAATACCGCAGTGACGTACAGTTCAGCCCTCAAGGACTCCTTTATCCCCGAGTACGGTGCTTGACTTGGCAGGTCCTAGCGCAGGTGGGTGTGTTAGTCAACCGAATACACCCACTCAATCCGGCGGAATCACCCCTCCTTTTTTCTCATCCGGGCTTGGGAGCCGCAATGGTAGAGTTTTTCCGAGATGTTACTTTCTGTTTTCACTCTACTGTAAATATTAAGGGTAGCAAAGATTCGAAAGAGTAGAACTTATCTTCTTCATTATTACAGCCTATCAAAAGTCTACTGAACTGAACATAGGCCTGTCCCATTGATTGTCAAATAGGCTGGATATTTGCTATAGTAACCACGATTCGGACAACAAGGCGAACACTTTTCTACTCGCCTTCATGGTGTAGTTCTTCCCACGTTCACTGTGAATAGAACTTAATTTGCAATAAAATTAATCTTAAGGATTTTATCGCGATTAATTTTAACTTTTTTAATTCTTGGCGTTTTGGACACTTTATAGAACCCATAACTACTGGGGGAATAACGTGTTTGATGTCCTGATATCATAGTTAAGGAAGACCACCATCAACTATTAATTTGCAATGTTAGGTCCGATCTACTTAAAAGAGGTTACAGTACTTGAACAGGTTACAGTACATTAGTATGCTTGGGTTTGGATTTAATTTTATTAATTATGAGATTCTAAGCAGATGGTAGCACATAGCCATCTTTCTTATTGAAATAAGGATGTTTTTTTTTATTTCAATAGTATCACGAATCATTCTTCGAAAGAATCGGTGTTCTATTACGAGGATTTGTTGTCTATCAGATCTGATACAATGGTTGGGACGATACTAAACATGTTGACATACTTTAGACATCCCGGAACGTCAGTGCCTCACATCCACGATATGTTCATTTTCGCGTGTTTTTATGGAACTTTCATCCAAGATGCGTAAAAAACCCAACAAAAAAAGTTAAAATTAAACGTGATAAAATCTTTAACATTAGTTTTATTCCATGTGTAGAATACATCATTATAGAAACGCATTTATTCAATTTTGAAGTGAACTCGAACATAAAAAAATATCAGCATCTATTTTATGGCGCCAAGCAATATTATATGCGACCAATAATAATTATATGAAATGTCGCAAATAAACATTATACCGTTAATCCATAGAAGACTATGAAATCATCATTATTTTGTTAAAACTAAATTAACTTTAACTATCAATGAATGGATATAGTAAAATTTTAATAATAATAAATTTTGATTCCAAGACAATTTACCTGAAAAACAAAAAAAATCACGTGTTTCTATAGCATATTATATCTATGCCAAATATCACTCATCTACTTCCGATAGTCTTTAAGAATAAAAAAAAATCTTTGACAAACAAGTAGAGACACAGCCACCGATGTGATTATAAAGTGATCGAAATTTGCTAAATTTGGCACGGAACAGCATTTAATGGTGTTTCTAATTTGAAGCCCACGCAAGTGAAGTCACGGGTAAAAAGCTACTGAATAAATATAAGTAACATTTAAAGTTTCTTGCTAACAAGTTTTTTTTATTTAGATTGAAGACGTACTCCGAGCCAACATCCAACTTATTTTAGAAAATATTCAAACATACAAAGTCAAAAGCATAGAAATCGTAGATGACGAGTACAAAGTGAATGGATTAAAACCAGTTATAGAAACAGTTGCGGATATACTTGGAGATTTGCCACTTGTTCAAGCCGAGCTTCTAGTATTATCAGAAGAATCCATAGAGATGCCCTCTAATATTACTGTTGAAAATAGGAAACTGTCCGGTGAAAGCAATACTGTTATTTTTGTTGGAGCTAATTTATTACAAAGACCAGACGTAAGTATTGATAGTTTAAAAAAAGTATTATAAATATTAATGTAATGAGTAATGAATAAGTTTTGAATGTTAAATGTATTTCTATAACTATTTATATATTCGAATAATCATAAAACTATGTTTTGCAGGTTCTTCAGCTCGCTGTTGCCACTTTACGAGACAAATGTTTTATTATTAGCCGTGAAAAAGACCGACCCAACCCTAAAGATTACGCTGATAAATACGACATTGTCACTATACAAGACACAGGCTCAGAACATATTGTCATGTTCAGAAAAAGGATAGGAGCTAAACCTGCTAAATTTATCAAAATAGTTGCAGCAGATCAAACGTTCTCATGGATTGACAAAGTCAAGGAGGAACTAAAAGAAGGACATAAAGTTGTGCTTTACAGTCAAGATGAGCCTATAAACGGTTTGTTAGGTCTAGTTAATTGTCTCAGAAAGGAGCCTGGTGGTGAGATTGTCTACGGGCTTATGATTACAGATCCATCCGCTCCACCTTTTAATCCTGATTTAGAACTTTACGAAGAACAATTAGATAAAGACCTTGCTATTAATGTTTATCAAGACGTAAGTTCTTTTTATTGTGATTATCAATTACGGCCTACTTAAATTATAAAGGGTATATAGGTAAATATATAGTTTTAATTAAATTTCCTTTTTAGGGCCAATGGGGTACTTACCGTCATCTATTGTTGGGACCTCTTGAAGTTGTGCAGGCTAACCACGCTTATGTAAACACAACAACGGTTGGTGATCTCTCCTCTCTTAGGTGGCTAGAAGGCCCCATTAGAGAGGACACGACAATCAAAGACCCTGAGCAAGTTCTTATTCATGTAAGTATCGTTTTAAATTCTGTTTATAATCCAGATTCCACAAATGTTTAACTTTTGAAATTTAGTACTATTTATTTCAAGACAAAATTTTCTAGATATTTGAATTTATTTCAATATTTAGGTGTACTGCTCAGCCCTTAACTTCCGTGACGTAATGACGGCGACTGGTCGTGTTACAGCAGATGCTGTTGCCCGAGGTAGATTGGCACAGGATTGCGTACAAGGATTTGAAATTGTTGGAAGAACACCCAAGTAAGCTTCCCCATAACTACTAGCTAGTTAAGAGTTTAATAAATAATTTAATCATAATTATTTTTACAACCAACCTCAATATAAATTATTCAGAATAACTCAAAAACTATTGGTCAGACCTTGATCAAATTTATACGGGACTACATGAGAAGCACCAGCTTTCAAATAAATAAAGAATCATCGAAATCAGTTCACCCATATAAAAGTTATGAGGTAACACATAAAAAAATATGGTCAAATTGAGTACCTCCTCCTTTTTGAAGTCAGTAGAAAAGAGGAAACTTGTAAAACAGTATTTGTTGAAAGCATTTTATTTTTTGAAAACTCTAGTTTCCAGTGATTTCAATTTCATGAAGATTTAAATTTCGAAAAAATCAGCTTTTGGAACTTCGTATTTACAAAACTAGCCTAACTTCGTTCAAATATAAATATCACGTGGTAGAGCCATGCTGCAGCTATATTAATAGTATAGTTGTAGCACGAATGGGTCGGCTCGACAGGGGAAGGTCCACGCTCTCACAGAATACCAGCGTAAAATAGCAGCTTAATGCTGCTGTATTTCGTATGGTGAGTGTAGAGAACCGGAGACCCTTTTTACTGGAAAAGTGGCATTCTATCATAGTCCTCACGGGTGACAATGCATCTGCATTTTAATTCGCAAACGATGATAGATGTAATGTCTATGGGCCATAGCTACCACTTACCATTAGGTGGACTGTGTGCTCGTTTGTCACCCTTATTCTATAAAGAAAAAAAAAACAATTAATAAAATTGACTAACTTCATCGTCTTTTAATCATTGTAATCTTAGTAATTCCCAAAAAATTCACTACAATTTCGGCTCAAATTTGACTGTTATAACTATGATTAGCTAATAATTCTTGTTAATTTTTATTGAAGTGGTTCACGTGTAATGGCGATGGTGCGAAACAGTGGTATGTCCAACATGGTTAAGGGAGACAAAGCTCTCATGTGGAGTATTCCTGATGAATGGAGTTTCGAGGAAGCTGCTACCGTGCCTGTGGCTTACGGAACTGTTTATTACGCATTGGTTAGTACGTTTTTTTATTCTACAATAATTTAAGGGACATTTACCGCTTAGCGTAGGTTAGTCCCATCATACGCTAACATACATCACTTACTCATATAACGTTAGTTGATACTTATTATACTACGTGGGCCATGGATTCGAACAGAACTTTCGCATCGTCGCCATTTGGTTGGGATAGAATATTATGAAATGTGCCTACGTCACTTCTGTTCAAATTCAAGACCCCTATTAAATTACTTCTAACAGACTCAAATCGAACACATTCCATGGTTAGTACTTGAGTATGACGCTATTTAGGATCTTTATCTTAAGGTGGCACAAGTCGCGGGCTCGAACTCGCTGGTGGGCGCGGCCAAAAAGCACGCTGTCTCACCTGGCATCGTGTCCGACAGAGATAGTATCAGTGATGAGCATATCGACACTAGTATTCACGCATGTCTTGTTCGTACGGTGTTCCGAACCGTTAGAATAAAAACGAAGTTACACGAACACGATGCAACATCTATACTAATATAATAAAGCAGAAGAGGGTTTTTGTTTGTTTAAACGTGCTAATCTCTGGAACTCTGGAACCAGTCCGATTTGAAAAATCTTTTTTTGGATATTATAGCCAGATTCATGTTGAATAGTATAGGCTATACAGCATTAGGCTATATATAGGAAGTCAGAAGAAAAAGCGCTGTTATGGTTCGGGATACGTAAATACAATGTTCTAGAAAAATATAGATCTTTACTCCGTCTAAAAAAAGTCCGCGATACCATATGTCTATTTCTTATATATAAGCCACAATTAGGCATTTTGTGACAAAAAAAATGAAAATTTATTTATTAGGCACCTTACGAACTAAAGTTACTTCATTATCAAGACAATTTTATGAAGATAAACTTCGTTCTTTATACCATGTTTATATAGTACATAGTTTAAGAGATAATGCAAAATTAAAATAATTCAATACCTACTTGGCTTGACGCGCAAACAACGCATAACCCCTAGCCCGGTGCGAACTGAGAAGCCAGTATTGAAAGCTTCTATGAGCGAGGTTAGGTTAGCCGTTAGTTCAATCGTTATCTATATATACACAAATAAATAAAATTGAAGTGTCTGTTATAATGTCAAAATAACAGCTTTTTACTAATTGCGTATGAAACTGTATACGGTACTTATAACATTAACACAATTTTTAACATTTTTGTATGTCTGTCAGTCTGTTTGTTGCGGTTAATTTCCAAAACGGCTGGACCGACTTGGGCGGGACTTTCACTAGTAGATAGCTCATGTTATAAGAAGTAACTTAGCCTGCTTAAATTTTAGAAAAATTATTAGGTGTCTTTGCAACAATATTAACGCCCTAAACTAAACGCGGACGAAGTCGCGGGGTACAGCTAGTAGCTAAAATAAATTCAAAATTAATTGAGTACTTTTATCTATCTCCCGGGTGAGCGTAGCAATGATTAGTTACATCTTTATTTCTGAACTCTTTCATTTCACGTTGCTATGGTATTTTGAAAGTTTAAATTTAATTAATTAATAAGTATAAGAGGTTGATAGCAAATTTATCAAGAATCATTTCTTGCCTACACACTTTTCATGAATCGTGTACGTTTTTCTTTAAAACTGGAAAAAACCGCGCATAATATGCCGACAGATAAAATAAAAGTACTCCATTAATCATGACAATTTTTCCATACATTACAATCAAATAAAATATTTGATTGCAATTATAAAATGCCTGAACTAGGTGTCATGTCATGCCACGCATCTCGGACACGTGATGACGCGGGTGAATCCACGAAATTATTAGGTATACGTCTGTGGCTCTATATACCTAATATAGATTGCTTATTTTATTATGTTTAGTTTTCCCCGAGTGGTCATGCAGCAATCACTCAAGAGTTCGGCTTCGAACGTGTGTAACTCGATAATTATCCCACGGCAACGAAATACCTGAATAAACGGTATCATATATGATATTTGGCAGCTCCGTGGCGCAGTGGCTTAGCAATGAATTGTTGTACTGGGAGCCGCGGGTTCGAATCAATCGAACAAGTATTTGTATGGTCTACAAATAATTGTTCCGGGTCTGGATGTTTGTAAACTGCCTCCACGATACAGGAGAAAATCCTAGTGTGGGGTAACGTTTTTTTGAAAAAAAAAAATTCCGGACTATAGCCTATCTCTGAGCAAAATATCATCCAGATCCCTTCAGCCGTTCTGGCGTGATTGAGTAACATACATCCATTCATCCGTCCATCCAAATATCCAAACTTTCGCATTTATAATATTTAGATAATAATCGTAATTGGTCTGCCTACCTATAAATTGTTTTCAAAAATACTTACTTACCTGGCTTCTTATTTTTTTATATATACTCAATATCACTAAACGTAAACACAGGTTTTTATCAAGACAAGTGACCCATCAAGATTGTTTTCTTAGTACCGACGTACCTACCTAAAGTTTACAATTTTGTGGCCACGACGCGGCGAGGTTTTGTGACATTTTGTTGTATTGTTGATTGTAGGTATCTAGGTAATAACAGTAGGTACCTATGAAAATCCCACATAATATACTTTGTTTATCCGCCGCAAAAGTCGTCTAATAAATAATTAAACTGTTTTGTAATTCTTTATTTATTTATAACACTTGCATTGAGAGCCGTGGTATCTCAGATGGTTAGCGCTCGCTGTAAGTATCACATTATGCGAGCAACCCGGGTTCGATCCCCGTCGGCACCAATGAAATTGTTGCAATTTTATATAGTAATCGAATATAGACTTTACTTTTTTTACTTTTATAATTATATTATATTACAGACGAAAATTTTAAAATATTGTCTGTCGTCCAAAACGCATCATCTCTTTCAATTATATCAATTTCCACACCGTCTTTTGTCTTTGGCGTCCAAATTACAAAATAGCAAAACTTTTCGTTTCGAATAAAACTCGAATACTTATAAGCGCGCGTCACCGCCTGTGCATGTGTGTGTAAGCATCGTCCTCCCGCACCGCACCGGGGGAGACATTATTCAGTGAGATGCACGATAATTCATAGTAACATGCGCGCGTAAAAAAATACGAAAAGGCCTTTGGAAGAAGGGGTTTTATGAAAAAACCACTGCATTAATCAATTACAAATAAAATTTATTGAGTTCTTCGATAATTTACCTGTGTCGGTACCGACTTTGTTTTGGAAATTTTACACTTCTTTTATTACTAATTTACGCCCAAAGTTGTGTTAAAATTGGCAATAAAAACGAATCTTTGGTAGCTCGTAACTTTTTAATAACATTTTATTTTACTATTCTGTTTCCGTACAGACAAATTTAATAATGAGACAAAACGATATCATGTTTAATTTTGGATGTACACTGTCAAACAGCGGAGTAAAACCCCTCCGAAATTTCTATGGAAATAATGTCGACTAGTGTCACCTTAAGCCCATTGCATTCCACCTAGATATGACATTGTCTTATCATAAGACGGATATGCTGTAATTGTAATCGGGATTGATTCATTGTCAACATTATGTATCATTTTAAAAGAAAGTATTTGATTTAACTTAAATCTTCAGTGGTTGTGTTATCTTTTGTATATAAGCTAAATGACAAAAATTTAGAATTTTACTATTAGTTATTAATATTCGATTTATATTTCCCAACTTTTTTTATAGGATTAGGGTAACAAACGAGCACACAGTTCACAGATGGTAAGTAGTTGCTGTGGCACATAGACATCTACATCTCTCCTCGATTACGAATTAAAATGCAGATGCGTTGTCACCCGTGAGGATTAAAATAGAATGCCTCTTTTCCAGTAAAAAGGGTCTCCGGTTCTCTTACACTCACAATACAAAACACAGCAGCGTTAATCTGATATTTTACGCTGGTATTCTGTGAGAGCGTGGTCCTTTTCCGGTCGAGCCGACCAATTCGTGCTATAACTACACTACTAATATAGCTGCAGCATGGCTCTACCACCTGAACAAATCTTAACAAAATTACCGTTACCATTACCATAAAAGCCTACAACTTTCCACTGCTGAACAAAGACCTCCCCCATAGAATGCCTCAAAGGGGAAATATTTGCAAAAATTGGCTAGCAACTGCAGTATTTTTTTTTTGTATTTATTAGGAAGATGCTTCTGCCCATCTCCTAGTTTGTTTCCATCTATCACCTCTTACGACACCCAAGGGGTGATATGGGTTAGTGGATATTATTACTGCGCGGAAACTTAACTAAATTATGATATTAACATATTTTTGTCATTTGTTTGACGATGGGACTTTGTTATAGGTTATGGTAGGTCAGATTAAAAGAGGCGAATCGATTTTAATCCATGCTGGCTCGGGTGGTGTTGGTCAAGCTGCTATTAATGTAGCATTGCACCTCGGATGTGAAGTGTTTACTACCGTGGGTACAGCTGAAAAGCGAGCTTTCATCAAGAAACTGTTTCCTCAATTCAAAGGTAAATGAACTTTAAAGGTGTTAAAAGTCAATTAACTAAGATCATATGTCTTACCTGGTATGAAGAGTAGGTACCTCCCGTCCTTTCTCAATTTCACGCATTATCCCCATCACCACTAATTCCACCACTACTACTTCCACCACACTAGATAAGACACACCACTGACGATAATTTATTTATTTATTTACATCCAAATTATATCTAACATTACAGGTTTCTACCCAACGCGATAGATAAAGCAATACTATTTACATTAATATAGGTAATATATGATTGTAAATAGTACAATCATATATTATCTATATTACTGTACTACCTCATAACTAATTATCCATAAAGAAAGTTTTGTGAATTCATTCAGAGTACAAAAGAATAAATATGAATCTCTGTCGATCAGGTTTAATATTCGAAAAGCTCGCGTCAGGGGTGCCTCTCGCAGTAAGTTAGTGCGACATCTAGGGACGGCCAGTAGGTCTGGCTGACGCCGCCGCCATATATATATCCGGAACATAAATATTAATCTTCTTCAACATATTTTCATTAATAATCCTGCTCGTAAAGACCATAAAAATATATGAAACTAGTCTAAGTTCTCTCCTTACCCTGAGCTGATTCTCCTTACCCTGACCTGATAATACGACACGTCTCTCACCTCTCAACAAGGCATCCACTGGTGAAGTAGACTCTGCGGTGATTTTTTACATCTTAAATATAATGGATTTCCGCAATGTCACACCTGATTATATTAATTATCTTAACTGAACTTTAATATTAAGGATTTGAAAGTAAATAAAACTTTTTTTTAAATGAAGCCATGTTGCCATGTTAAGAATGATGATGATATATTTTGATGTATTTAGATGTCTTATTATTGACAATTTCAATATATTAGGTATGCATTTTATTATCATATTGACGTATATATTATACTCGTATCTATGAATCATACATATTTTGTTCATATATTTACATACACTACGAGGCAAGTAAAGATTTTGTACATGTATATCATAGTACGTAGGTATGTATGTGTCCGTATGTATATACATATATATTTGCACCTGCCACAAAATCTCATCACTACACGGCCACGGGTGGACTGGTAGAGAATGCCGATAGGCATTAAGTCCGCTCTTTGTTACCCTAGTTATTAAGGTGTTAACAATAAAGATTAAATAACTAAATGTTTTCCTCGAACTTATTTTTTCTAAAAGCATTCTTGTATTAACTATTAAATCTCCTTGTTTACCAACAGACAGTCACATTGGCAATTCTCGTGATACGATATTTGAAGATATGGTCCGAAGAGAAACGAAGGGAAAAGGTGTAGACTTGGTTCTAAATTCTCTGTCAGATGATAAGTTACAGGTAAAATATATTGCATTCAAACCTTTCTTTTCATTAGTATAACTAAATGAATACTGAGCTGCAAGCTCCCCTACATAGTGACTCCTAACTTACATTGACCAGTATCTTTCCAAATCACTATCAAACTATTCTTAACTCAGTCATTCGGAAGCTACCCTGAAGCCTCTGTTCGTCTTTGGTTATAAAATGTGGCAATTTCGTCGATCGATTTTAATGTACCAAATGTCAATTCCAACCTGATGATACAATTTATTTACATGGGTTTTATTTTTTTCTTCATTATGAGCCCGTAACAAACAACTTCTGGATATAGAACTATTTCATTTTCGTTTAAATTTACAATTGCGCTTGTCAAGTGGATTGGAAATAGCAGTAAAGATGTTTCGCATTTTGACTCTGGTCTTTCTCGTCTGGATGTTTTATATCTAGTATCAATTGTGTGATTGATGATTGACACAGATTATCGCAGATCATTTCAATTACGATTCAGAGTTACAATTAAGACTCAAGTGACTCACAGACGTTACCGTTTGTTTTAAAATATGGTCAAATGATAAAATAGGTGAATGATGATATTTTGTACTTTTGAAATCTCAATGTATTTTAAAAATTCTAACGAGTTTCTTTGATAGTTTAAACCTGGGATTAGTTTTTTTTTTAAGTATAGGGTGACAAACGAGCACACATTCCACCTGATGGTAAGTGGTTGCTGTGGCCCATAGACATCTACATTTATTCTCGTTTGCGAATCAAAATGCAGATGCGTTGCCACCCGTGAGGACAAAGATGGAATGCCTCGTTTCCGACCAAAATTCGCAACCAATAGACATCCTTTTGGAATTCCTCCCAGTCATATAATATCTGTGATCAAGATAATGGTCATATCTATTGATAAAATAATAAAATGAGAGGACATAAGATCTTTCTACGATTTCCTTTTTTACTATGCTAAAACACTACAATTCAAATTGTATGGAAATTTTAATATGCTTATTTATGTTAATACTCATTTTACAGGCCTCAGTACGCTGCCTCGGTTACCGCGGTCGCTTCTTGGAAATAGGAAAATTTGACATTATGAATAACACTCCAATAGGAATGTATCACTTCATGAAGGAAAAATCGTTCCATGGTATTATGTTGGACTACATCTTCGACCAAAACTTTGAATTTAGGACGGTCAGTGATAATAATAGTTATTTTTATTGTTATATTTTTGATATCTTCCTTGGCATCCACTTCTTCTTTTCGATTAGTTCAATTGATTAATACAGAAATATAAGAACTTAGGTATCTAACAATAATCCATACAATATTTTTTTAGTCAACAGTAACGATACTGAGACACTCATTTATATTTTCATGAAAAGTTTATTTTTAATAATATGAAACAGTACAACACACATTATTAATTCGTACTCACACTCTGCCTGTTCAACACGAAACATTCGCTTAACAATCTCCTCGTGTTTGTAAAACTACTTTTTGAAGTGAAAGTCGATGAAACAAAAAAGCGACAATAAAAAGAGACACAATACACATCTATAGAATTTAGACTGTAATAATATAATGTGATAGAATACAGTATACAGGTTTTCCTATTAACGCGGTCTCCTTTAGTCGTTTCACTTCTACCACGTGTGAACTGCACACATCATGTCTGTTTCAATAATAAACATAATATCAATTCCACAGAGGCTACGACATCTCCTTTTGACTGGTATAGAAACCGGAGCAGTTCGTCCACTAACATACTGCATATTTAAAAAACACGAAGTTGAAAATGCATTCCGTTACATGGCAGCCGGTAAACATATTGGAAAGGTAAGTGATGGATTTTAATCAATATATATGTACATTCAGTCAAAAAAGTAACGCGAATGGATGATTTGTTTATGGTTCCAAATTCAATATTTTTTTGACGAAGTTCCTTATCGCTCGGTATGAATTTGATGGATTGGGGTTAGGCGACAAAAAGTCTAACATTTTTCCGTCATGATCCGCTTTCTATAGTGCGAACGAGATGGAATGATATTCATTTCCCTCGCACTTTTTTGCATGCCGAGCGCAAAGCGCATAGGTATGTTCTACTAGCACCTAAAAATCAAGATTCCAACGTTTTGTCGCATGAAATCGTATCTAGTAATCATATTATACATATAAATGATATAAAAAGCACACTGTCAGAAAGATAAATGATTGTTGTACTTATTAATATTTTTTTTAAATCGATTAATTGCTATTTTTACATAATAAATGGGTTTTAGTGGCTTATGGTGTGGATTTATCAAGTCCGTATGGCTTTGTAAACACGATAACTTTTGAAAATATCAATTGTTCAACTCAATCTATTTTTAAAACTTTTCATCTATCATGTGGGAAGCCATTGAATGTAAATGGTAGTTTAATTTTGTTTTCTTTAGTTATAATTAATTTTTTTCGGCTGCTAAATGTCGAAATTTTCGGTGTTCGCAGCCTTGTGTTAGAATTTATTTCAGTAAATAGAGACTGCCTGTGCCTTACTCGCTTAGTTTGGCGTCAATCGCCGTTGTGAGTGGATACTGTATCGGTTGTTTGCAGCGGCTCAAAAAGATCGCTGTACAAATAAAATACAAAATATTCGAAAAACAAATTTCATACATACTTGATTATTATAATAATCAGAGATTTTTATTACAATATTTTAAAAGCACAGAATAAATAATAGTAGTACGTACTAAAAGTAAGTAGGAAGTAATATTTATACTTGAATACGTCTTGGACTTTTTGGAGTGACATGAATGATGATATGATGATCATATGAGCATTATGAGTCGTGCACTTTGGATTTTCCAAACTTTTTCAAATTGAATGTTGACATAAAATTATCGGAAAATTGGAAGTATAATAAGGTTATTAGTGAAAACTTGTGTGTATTTAAACTACTTTAAAAAAATTCCGTATAATCATGCTATACGTAATTTTTGTAACGCGAAGGCATGCTCAATTGGATTTACCAATATTTAATCTATCTTATCTTGCCATGAAAAAAATATTATTTTAAATGACACTTCATTTTAAAAGTCGCTTGTAATTCATTTATATGTATTTGTTAATAACTTTTAATCGGACCAAAAAAATTAATATTGAAAAAACTGAAGGTAACCGGGCTAACTATGACATCGGGACGTCAAACACCTCAGTCCCCCCGTGACCATGGGTGCTGTAAAGCACCCGAAACATCGGGAATCAAAAAGTTAAATTAAACGCGAAAAAAATCCTTAAAAATTGTTTTCATTTAATATGTAGTCTTCGCGTAAATATAAGAAATCATTATGTATTTGTTAATCAATAACATCGGTTATCATTAATAATATACTGCGAAAGGAGTTACGTTTCAACCGAGTGTTCCACGATACTCACGCATGTTTTCTATTGTTCTTGTTAGATTGGCACAACTCTTATTCATTTTGGCGTAGAGTTTGAGTTACATCTGTTTTGAGATTAAGTACAGTGCTTTTTTTAGTTATATTATATCTAGTGTATATTGCGAATTTCACAATAGACAAAAACATCGAACAAAGAGTTTGTCTTAAAATTTGTATCGTCAATGGAATTTCGTGTCCGGAGTCACTGAAAATGTTACAGAAGGCTTACGGTGAATTGACTTTATCAAAACACGTACTTATGGGTGGTACAAAGCGTTCAAAAGCGGTACAGATGTGATGGAAGATTTGCCTCGCTCTGGTAGGCCATCAACGTCTGCAACTGAAGTTAACATCGAAAAAGTGAAGGAAATAATGACTGAAAATCCTCATTCATGTTTGATAGAGATAGTCGCTGAACTTTCTGTGTCTCAAGAGTCGATCCGTACCATTTTAAATAATCACTTGGTTATGAAACATGTTGCCGCTCGGCTAGTCCCAAAAGACCTGATTTTCTCCGAATACTCAATCGCATAAGAGTTGCTGAGGACACGCTAGAACGAGTCAATTCCGACCCAACATTCATGAAACGCATTGTTACTAGTGACAAGACGTGTGTTTACGAGTTTGACATGCAAACTAGTCAACAAGCTTCGGAGTGGCGCCTTCCAACTGAACCGAAATCGAAAAAACCATGCCAAAGTCGATCAAAATTCAAAGACATGTTGACTGTTTTCTTTGACTTTCTCGGTGTTGTGCAGTCGTTATTCTTGCCAGGAAGTCAAACGGTAAATAAAGAATATTATTTGAGCGTTATGTGGCGCTTAAGAAACTAAATTAGACGAAAAAGGCCAGATTTGTGTATAAAAAATTCTTGGATTTTGTACCACGATAATGCGCTTTCGCACAAGGTCATCATTGTGAACGAGTTTTTGACCAGAAACTCAACAAATACCATCGAGCAACCACCTTGTTCACCAGATATGGCTTCAGCCGACTTCTTTCTTTTTCCTAAACTCAAATTACCACTTCGTGGTATCCGTTTTCATTCGGTAGAAGACATAACGAAGAATTCATAGCGAGAACTGAACTCAATTCTGGAAGAAGCGTTTGAAAAAAGTTTTGATGATTGGATTATTCGTTGGAGAAAGAGTATAGTTTCTGAAGGAGCATACTTTGAAGGTGATAAAATAAACTTGTATGAATAACTAACATTTTGTGTATTATTGATCTTTTCCCGGTACTTTCTTGACAGTAGTATATAAATGAATGTTTAATGATTTGCGTTCCTATACCGATATGAGCATGATAAGTGAGCATGGTTTTTGCATCACTCGAAATGTAGGACATATCTGGTTAAAATAAAACTTAAATATCCATTAGCGGTAGTGTCTTCAATAGTATATTTTTTCTAATAATGATATTATTCAGTAAATATAGAGAAACGTAAAGATTCTTAATCGTGGATAGATGTAGATGTCTATGGTATGGGTGTTAGCATCCGCTTACCATCAGGTGGACTGTGTGTTGTTGTTGATGTTGTCATCGTTATTCTATAAAAAAATCAACACACATAAATTTAAATCACCAATCAACGTTTTGCAGGTGATTGTAAAAATTCGTGATGAAGAACACAACAACCGATCTGCAAAACCTACAAGTTTACCACTGGAAGCAATGCCAAGGTAAGAAATGTGATAATTTCTGATTCTTCACCTTCACCTGAAAATTATTTAAACTTGGAATTAACTAGTTATTTGTTTTCCCAAGCTCCTAATCCTGGATGCAGAATGAGCTCTTGGGTGATAATTACAATGTTCAATGGAATTCCAAAACTAAAATCTTGCTTTTTAAGGCGGCCTCTCATCTCAGGGGTACCTCGTTTACAGCCGGGGTGGCTTCAGGGGCAACTGAACTGAGTAAGTGGCGCAAATATGATTATTATCTGAGAGATGACTACATATTTGTGCCATTTTCTGTAGACTATCGGGTCCGTGGGGTCCACGTGCGGTGAAGTTCCTAAAGGAACTTTATTCGCGGCTGGGCTGCTGGTGATAAAAGGGCTGGTTCTTTTCTCGCACGAAGGCTAAGTATAGCCATTCAGCGAGGAAATGCAGCCAGCGTTCTTGGCACGATACCACGGGGAGTAGGACTGTATGATAATTAAGTTATTAGTTTTAGTTCTTTTTTATTAGTTTTTTTTAACATTGTATATAATGAAAAAAAATCATATAATGTAAATAATCTAAAGAAACAGTTAAATTTCTTTTAGTTCTCAGGGGGTGACAACATCTGCATTTTGATTCTGAATCGAGGATAGATGTAGATGTCTGTGGCCACAGCATCCACTTACCATCAGTGGACTGTGTCCTCGTTTTCACCCTTATTCTATAAAGTTACATTGTCATAATAATTTCTTATATTTACGCCAATAATACACATTGAATAATTCAACATTGGTAGAGCCACGCGGCAGCTTTTGCTGTCGCACGGATGGGCCGACTCGAACCGGGGTGGTACCACGACCTCACAAAATACCAGCGTGAAGTAGAGGTTTACCTCTGCGTTTCGCTTGGTGAGTGCAGGTGGCCGGAGGCCCTTTTTACTGGAAATGAGGCATTCCATCTTAGTCCTCGCATTTGCATTTTTATTTGGAATAGAGGATAGATGTAGATGTCTATCGGCCGCAGCTACCATTCACCATCAGGTGGACTGTGTGCTCGTTTGTCACCCTTATCATATAAAAAAACCACATTTACGGATTCTGTCGGGTTTAATTAACTTATTTTTATGAATTCCCGACGTTTCGGGTGCCTTACAGCACTCATGGTCACGGGGGACAGAGGTGATTGACGTCCTTATATCAGAGTTAACCCTGAGTACCTTCAGCTTTTTTAATTATTAATTTTGGTGCGTAGATCGGACCAAAATTAATAATTAAATAAAACCAGAATTAATAACAAAATTAATAATTAAATAAAACCAGAATTAATAACAAAATTAATAATTAAAAGAGTCGCGAACTAATAAAAATAAGTTAATTAAACGCGATAGAATCCGTAAAAGTGGTTTTATTTAAAGTAACCTTATCTCAGACATTATGTTTTATAACTGGTTAAGCCTCAACTTGTATGATTATCTTCTTAATTTTTAATCGAATGTTCTCTACTTCACAGGTACATGTGCCATGAAGACTTTGTATATGTCATCGTTGGAGGCCTCGGAGGTTTTGGTCTCGAGCTAGCCGACTGGTTTATCTTAAGAGGGGCCAGAAAAGTATTGTTAACATCCCGAAGGGGCATCAGCAATGGTTACCAAGCTTCACGCCTAAGGTATCGTAACACTGTTTTGAATACAACGCGAAAACATTTATACAAAGTATATATAGGTCCAACTTTATGGCCTTTTTTGAAAGGATTTTATGACAAGGTATGACCCGCTACACTGCTTCAATGTGTGTTGGCAGATTTATCATATAAGTAAAAAGTCAAGTCAAGTTACAGTCTCCTAAATACGTCTCGCTGCTGGGCGTAGGCCTGTTGTAAAAAACATGTTACTTTAGGGCCTAAAGTTCAGGCAATTGTATATAGACTTTGCCGCGCAAAAGAGCGTAAAGTTACTATAGTGGCCTGAATTATAACTTAAAACGTTTGCACTAAGGTGATAACAGCTCAAAATAATAAAAAAAAACTGTCGCTGCCAACACGCCTGGGGTTTTTAGTTTTTTTTTTTTATTGTAGCGTAGTGGACCAAGTGTAGCGACTATAGCAAATATCCTATGAGCCAATATTTGTGGAATTACGGTTAACTTAATTACGATAACGACGATGATGAAGAAACAATATTGAATTATAGACAAGCGACCCGCCTCGGCTTCACCTGGATAAGATCAATAAATGTAGCGTTATTTATATTTATATAAAATAAAAAAAAATTCGAGGTATCACCCTCGAAAATTTTGTGGTTTTTCTATTTCACATATTCCTTAAAGTTTTGTATATTATAATTTTGGTATTTGTTATTTGACTATATGACCTTGGACTGCTTTAAAAGAAAACAGGTTAACATGTAATTATTTTCTCGATAGAAAAAAAATAATAAAGTATACTCTAATTAGTAACATTTCTCCATGCCACCACAATATCTTACGCGGTAGAACCACGCTGCAGCTATATTGTGATTGCAGCACGAATGGGTCGACTCGACCGAAGTAGGACCACGCTCTCACAGAATACCAACTTAATGCTGTTGTGTTTCATGAGTATATAGGAACCGAAGAGCCTTTTTACTGAAAACGAGGTATTCCATCTCAGTCCTTAGGGGTGACAACGCATCTACATTTTGATTCTTAATTGAAGATAAATGTAGATGTCTATGGGCCATAGCATCCACTTATCATCAGGTGTACTGTGTGCTCGTTTGTCACCCTTATTCTCTAAAAAAAATATTTATATGAATTAGTTCTCGAAATTATTTTTAAAACATAGTAAAAATCATATAAGTTAACATAAAACAATTTTAAATCCATAAAGTAGTTTTGTTTAAAAAATATAAATGTTGTTTGACGCTTTCGTAGTTTATTTCCGAACGCGTGCTTGATATAGCTATCTCATAATTTTCGTATATGAAGTAATTGCATCACTTTCATTTTGACCCTCCCGTTGTCGTCAGTGAGCTTCATCGACGACGGACTAGGCCACGCCCCCAAAACTACAATTAATTTTAATGGTATCCTCTTAAGCTAATCAAAGACCATTTATTTTCCAATTTTTATTTTTTACAGAAAAAGTCTTCAAGATTATCGGATAAAATATAGCCTACATCCCCCCGATATTGCTCACTATCTGTTTGTAAAGTTTAATCACAATCATTTAACCATTCAGAAGATTACCTCGGTCAGACAAACAGACAGACAGTTATTTGTGTCTTAATACTCCTAGCATGCAAATAATTGCCTAAGCATAATAGAAACCAGATATTTGAATATAACGGACAGACACTTCAATGTATGTATATATAGATTTCTAATATTTTATTTTCAGAACATGGGCCGCTTATGGTGCGGATGTGCGAATTTCCACTCACGACGTTGTCACAGAGGCGGGATGTGAAGAAATGCTGAAAATGGCTAATTCCATGGGGCCCGTGGAAGCGATTTTTAACCTTGCTGTTATTCTAAAAGATTCCATTTTCGAAAATCAAACGCCTGAAACGTTCAAAACATCATTCGGCCCAAAGGCTCTTGCTACCATGCATTTAGACAAACTATCAAGGAAACTCTGCCCTGAATTAAAGTAAGTTTATTTTTCATTGTAACCTATATGACAGTCAAACACGTTTAAATTTCCATTTAAAACTTATTGTATTGAATTACATACATCAATTAAAATCCTTCACAAGTCCACTGCTGAACACAGGCCTCCCCCAAGGAATGCCACAAAGCACGGCCCTGAGCCACTTGCGTCCAATGACCTTCTGCATATCTCACCAGATCGTCACACCATCTAGTGGAAGACCACCCTAAACTATGCTTACCGGTACTAGGTTGCCACTCGAAAACCTTTCATCCCCATTGGTTGTCGGTTAATCGAGCTATGTGGTCAGCCTATTGTCACAGCCGACTGATCCGATGGGGTATGACATCCTGCGATTTCGTTAGAACAATTCAAATTTAGAATAAGTGAACCATGATAGCTCAGAGGTTAAGCGCTCGCTGTTTCACAGTATGCGAGCAACCTGGGTTCGATCCCCGCCGGCACTAATGAAATTGTCAATTGCAATTTTAAGTGCTGATTTACCACGCACTCGAGCTGTAGGAAAACATCTTGAGCAGCTATATTAGTAGTATAGTTGTAGCACGAATGGATCGGCTCGATCAGGGAAGAACCAGCACTCTCACAGAATACCAGCGTTAAATAGCAGCTTAACGCTGCTGTGTTTCGTATGGTGAGTGTAAAGAACGGGAGACTTTTTTACTGGAAAAGAGGCATTGCATGTTAATCCTCACGGGTGACAACGCATCTGCATTTTATTCACAAACGTGGATAGATGTAGATTGTAGATGCCTATGGGTCGCAGAGCAACTACTTACCATCGGGTGGACTGTGTGCTCGTTTGTTACCCTATCCTATAAAAAAATATCTAAGATATAAGAAAAAAAATTATAGTCGTATTGGGGCAGCGCGGCGGAAGTTTCCTTGCCCTAAAAGCCTTTCAGAAATGAGAGGAGGCCTGTACCCTTCAGTGGAATGTATACAGGCTGTAGTTTTAATTAACTTTAATTCGACAAACTGATGGCTGATGTTAAGTGGCTGGTGTGGACATGTTTATCTATCCTCGGTTAAGAGTCAAATGCAGTGTTGTCAACCCCGAGCAGCCGTGGTCATTTAAATAGTTGTGTCAAGAATCGGAGTGCCCTACTTCAATTTTCTCTTCTACTGATCTATCTATACTTTGCTAATCTCCGTTGAAACTGCCCACTGTGACCAAAATTCGGTCCAGAGATCATTATTTATTTGATTTTATAATTACAGGCACTTCGTCATATTTTCATCTGTGTCTTGTGGTCGCGGTAACGCTGGTCAAACCAACTACGGTCTGTCTAATTCGATAATGGAAAGAATATGCGAATCGAGAAAGAAGCTTGGATTACCTGCCTTGGCAGTACAATGGGGAGCAGTCGGTGATGTAAGTTTATTTTTTTAATATTGTTACACTTCTTCTTAACTGCTTTGTTGATCTAGTGGTCGTAAACGCGTTGTAGATCGTGAGGTCCCGGGTCCAAATCCCGGGTCGAACTCATTTATGTGGTTTTTCTGACAAGAAATTCTCATTGGCAGCCCAGAGTTAGCGGTGTTTCACCCGTGGGTAACGTACTTACTCGTAAATCCGTTGGTCTGCCGTGACCAAAATACGGTCTGGAAGATATTATTAGACTGAAACGTGGTAGAGCCATGTTGCAGCTATATTAGTAGTATAGTTGTAGCACGAATAGGTCGGCTCGACCGGGGAAGGACCACGCTCTCACAGAATACCAGCGTTAACTAGCAGCTTAACACTGCTGTGTTTCGTATAGTGAGTGTAGAGAACCGGAGACCCTTTTTACTGGAAAAGAGACATTCCATCTTAGTCCTCACGGGTGACAACGCATCTGCATTTTGATTCGCAAACGTGGATAGATGTAGATGTCTATGGGCCGCCACAGCAGCCACTTACCATCAGGTGGACTGTGTGCTCGTTTGTCACCTTAACCTATAAAAAAATTATTACTTCTTCTTGATTAGGCTGTTCAAATCCATTGTTAGAAAGACACATATCTCAGGTTGTAGGGAGGCTTTGATATTGACATCACACTATGCATCTGACAATATCAGCAGTAGACGTTTCACACCTTTAGTACTAATTAAAAAGTTTTATTACTAATATTTATATATATATATACTTCTTCTCTCTTTCGTGGACAATCAACCCTATGGTGATGAGGTATATCTGCCTCTTTTCTTACTACCACTAAATTTTCTTAAAAAATAGGAAGCAGAACTGAGTACTTTGTTAATTATGTCCATCCTAATTTCGGTCAGGTATAATGTTCAATAAACAATTTTAATAATAACATCTAGCTAGTAAGTGGTAGCTGCATCCATGGTGGCTCCAAGTGTATGCGTAAGTATAGGTGTACTCTCTATTTCCTCACTGTCATAGTCCGATGGGACGGTAATCCGACACGACCGGAGAGAGATCGGGCGCTGTCTCCGGCTTCTACTGAGAATTTCGTAAGACAGTATGAAGCTGTTCTGTATACATGGTTATTTTTTAAAGAGTAGCCAAATTTTAAGCTTAAGTTCAAATATAAAATTAATACTGTTCTTGCAGTTTTTGAAAATACGAGTAAATAAGGTTTCTACTTTTATTTGAAATTATCCCAAATTGAATGTGATGTATGGGCAACAACGTTTTTGCCTACCGATCAACCCTTACAAATGTGTGCGTGCGCAGTAAAATCAGTTAAAATAATGCATTACGTACCACGCATTTTGAAATTAAAAGATAAAAAGGGCAGAATGTTCGTGATTATTTTTATTAATTTTTCTTCACCATTTGCCTATATTACTTGTTCTGAACCTTCTCTGCAAATTTGGCTGGTTATTGCCAAATATACCGGAATCACTGCGGAAACTTTAATAACGTGATTTAGGAAGTTCGTTTCGCTTGTGACTCGACGACAGAGCGCTACCACAGATCCATTGTGCTCTCGAAAAATAAGATCACCTGGCTGTTATAGGAGGTATATAAGTAGTAACTTTACCTTAACCAGCAAGCAAATACGAAACCAAATCCATTAAGAATTCCATCAATTTATTTCTAGGTTGGACTTGTAGCAGACATGCAAGATGAAGATGTCCAGCTTGAAATAGGTGGAACACTGCAGCAGAGAATCTCTTCGTGTTTACAAGCTTTAGACAAGTTCTTGAAGCAAGACGCAGTTATAGTTTCCTCGATTGTAGTGGCGGAGAAGAAAGCTGGTGGATCAGGCTGCGGAAACATCGTTGATACTGTCGCTCAGATCATGGGTAATACTGAATTTGCAAGGTTTAATATATTTAATATGCATATTTACTGTGTAGCGGCGGTGTAAGAATATCCACTACCCCACATCGTCCCGTGGATTTTGTAAGAGGCGATAGAGGGAAACAAAACAGGTGATGAAATATTTAGACTGTACTATATTATGTTGACTTGTACTTTACAGTCGTTATAATCGTGAAAACCAGAAGTTCAATTGTGTTGTTCATATTTTAAAAGATAGACTTACAGTTTACAAAATTCTAGATTTTACATACATTATATTCTCTTTGATTCATTTATGTCAACATACATTAAAATAAAGGACAAAGAATGGGTGACGTAGAATGGTATATGAGGTGGAACGAAAACTAATTATATTACAACGGACCGGAACGGAACGGAACTCAATGTGCTAAATTCTAATTAAAAGGTAAATTTATACGGTTACCGTTACAGCCTATTGCTGAATATAGGCCTCCCCCAAAGATGGTCTCATATGGGGTATATTTGCCAGTTATAACTACCAGTTAAGTGTTAACAACAAATTAACTGAATCGGATCAGAACGTTGCAATGGTTTTTGAAAAATATTTTACTGATATTCCGATCCTAACCACTAAGTCACTGAATTCTTCTCCTGCCGTCATCGAATCATTACTTCAATATATTTGCCAGTTATAACTACCGGTTGAATAAAAAAGTTTCTGTTTCTGTTTTATAGTTGTAATGTTACTGTTGATTTGAAAATTTCACCTCTCAGTGGGTAATGTGCTCCTGGTAGATTATCGTCTATACATCCATCCATTACAGCCTATTAAAATCCACTGCTAAACAACAATAGCTCTCCCATAGACTGTCTCATAGGGGAGATATTTGCCATAGTTGCCACGCTTGGCAAGCGGGTTGGCTACCGCAATTATTAAATTTTATTCATAACTAGGAAGACGCTGCTGCCCATCTCATGATTTGTTTCCTTCTGTCGCCTTTTACGATACCTACAGGATATATGGGTTAGTTAGTGGATATTGTTACACCGCTAATACACGGTAAATAATATATATAAGCTAGATAAATAATAAGGGTAAACGGTAAATAATATATAATTTTAAGCTTGATAAACAAAGCTAATAAAAATAATTCTTATCTAGGTATCAAGGACCTGAAGACGGTGTCTCAGCAAGTGTCCTTAGCTGAATTAGGTATGGATAGTATGATGGCTGTAGAAATCAAGCAAACTCTAGAAAGAGAGTTCGAGATCTTCCTTACAGCTCAAGATATAAGAACCCTGACGTTTGCTAGGTAATTCATCAGCATTTTGATTCTTTATCGAGAATATATGTAGATGTATATGTAGATTTGTGTTTATACGTGGTAGCGCCATGCTTATACGTGGTACAGCCATGCTGCGGCTATATTAATAGTATAGTTGTAGCACGAATGGATCGGCTCAACCTGGGAGGGACCACGCTCTCACAGAATACCGGAGTAAACTAGCAACTTAAAGCTGCTGTGTTTCGTATGGTGAGTGTAGAGAACCGAAGACCCTTTTTACTGGAACGAGGCATTTCATCTTAGTCCTCATGGGTGACAACGCATCTGCATATTGATTTTTTATTGACGATAGATGTACATGTCTATGGACCGCAGCAGTCATTTACCATCAGGTGGACTGTGTGCTGGTTTGTCACACTTACACTATAAAAAAATGTCTAGAAGCAGCAGTATCCACTTACCATCAGGTGCGCTTGTTTATTCTTTAAATATATAAACATTATATATTGTTTAGAAGAAGTTTTCTCCCTCGCACAACTTCCTTGTGGAATCGATTTTCACCAGCGATTTTTCCGGACCGATACGACTTAGGGACCTTCAAGAAAAGAGCCTAGTCCTTTTTAAAAGGCCGGTATCGCATCTGCAATTCCCCTGGTGTTGCAGTTATTCATGGGCGGCGGTAGTCACTTACCATCAGGTGAGCCGCATGCTCGTTTGCCCCCTCTTCTATTAAAAAAAATTGCACAGGACTGACTGAAATATAACCAAAAGCACTAAGACCTTATTTCCTATCTTCAAAACCTATAACTTTTGTGTTGCGACTTGATTTGAAACTTAATAATTTAAAATTAATATAATCGTATAATAATTCCTGTTTTGTGAGTTCTGTATTTTCATTACTCTACACCTTGATATACTGGCGTGGCTTTGACGGCTACGTGGCGCAGTTGCTTAGCATTGAGTTGCAGCGCTGAGGGCTGCGGGTTAAAAGCTCGCACGAAACAAATATTTGTATGGCCTACAAATAATTGTAAATGTTGGTCCTTGTGCATTTTATATTTGTAAACTGCCTCCACGGAGTGTAGTGGTTACTTTTTTAAATGGCTTAGCAGTGTTACAACTATACAAATTTTTATTGGTATATTAAAATTAACCCTGTAAGAGTATTAACATGTCTTCTTAAACAGATTAGTGGAACTGACAGCCCAAAGGGAAGCAGCCGCATCAACTTCAGCTACCCGACAGATACAAGTAGATGGTGCGGCTGGTCTCCGCGTCTTGTTACGGAACTTTGGAGATGAGAAATTGGCTTCAGAACCTGTGATCTACATGTCCACGATGGTCAGCGACAATACAGACGTGAGTGGATAAAATTGACCATAGATAAATAATATAACACACAAGATAATGAGACGAAAGGCTACGTTTGGAAGGATCACGCTCTCACAGAATACCAGTGCAAATATTAGCTTAATGCTGCTATGTTTCATATGGTGAGGATAGTGTGGGCAGTCCATCTTAGTTTTCTAGGGTGACAACGCATTTGCATTTTGATTCTTAATCGAGTATAGATGTAAATATCTATGGGCCGCAACACGCTCTCACAGAATACCAGCATAAAATAGCAGCTTAATGCTGTTATGTTTCACATGGTGTGTGTAGAGAACCGCATACCCTTTTCACTGGAAAAGGGTCATTCCATCTCAGTCTTCACGGCTGACAGCGCATCTGCATTTTGATACGCAAACTAGGATAGATGTTGTGGGCCACAACAACCACTTACCGTCAGGTGGACTGTGTGCTCGTTTGTCACCCTTATCCTATGAAAAAAATCTATTTTATAATAAAATAATCCAAAATTTAAATAATTTAAAACACTTAATTATATCACAAAACATTTCATTTTGATACATATTGCACTCAAATGTATGACTAGTAGTGGCGTGGCGTGCCGTGTAGTGGCGGTCAAGAATATCCACTACCCCATATCCTCCCGTGGGTGTCGTAAAAGGCGACAAAGGGAAACAGCCAGGAGATGGGCAGCAGCATCTTCCTGATAATAGCCAAATGACAATAAAAAAACTGCGGTTGCCAACCCGCTCGCCAAGCGTGGCAACTATGGCAAATACCCCCCAATGATGAGAGCAACAAAAAAACGGCCCCCAGTCCCCGGCGGCCCCGCTATTCCTGGCTACGGTGGCGACCATGGTAACGGCGGGGCAGGGGGTGCTAAGAATCTCCGGTGGAGGTTCGGTTGCCACCTTAGACGACTCGACCTGGCAACGTACAACGCACGCACCCTGAGGACTGACGAGAAGATCGTGGAGCTGGAAGAAGAGATAGACAAGTTGCGCTGGCATATTATAGGATTATCTGAAGTCCGAAGAGAGGGGGAGGACACGGTAATCCTCGAATCCGGCAACTTGCTCTATCACCGGGAGGGCGACCATCTGTCCCAAGGAGGTGTCGGATTTATCGTCCACAAGTCTCTCGTTAACAACGTTGTAAAAATCGGGAGTGTGTCGACGAGGGTTGCGTACCTTATACTCAGAATCACCAAACGGTATTCGCTGAAGGTCATACAGGTTTACGCACCAACCTCGGCACACCCCGATCAGGAGGTGGAGGAAATGTATGAGGATATCTCTAGAGCCATGCATTCCTCCAAAACCCAATATACGGTGTTAATGGGAGACTTCAATGCAAAACTAGGCACAAGAGAGAACGGTGAGCTGAAAGTAGGGAAATTTGGAATAGGGCAACGGAACCCAAGGGGCCAGCAGCTGGCTGACTTCATGGAGAAAGAGGGACTCTTTATGATGAACTCTTTCTTCCAGAAGCGGCCCCACAGGAAGTGGACCTGGTCGAGCCCCGACGGTTCCACAAAAAATGAGATTGACTTCATTATGACGACCAGACGACAACTGTTCAGTGATGTCTCCGTGATCGCGAGGGTGAAAACTGGTAGCGATCACCGAATGGTTAGAGGCACACTGAACCTAAACGTTAAGTTGGAGAGGTCTCGTCTAATGAAGTCAACGCTCCGTCCCCCTCGTGCTCTGTTTCAAAGTCCCGAAACCTTTCAGCTCGAGTTACAAAACCGTTTTCAGTGCCTAGAAGACTGCAATGAAGTGGACGATATGAATGACAAGCTCGTGGAAACTGTCCATGCGGTTGGAGCTAAGTTCTGCAAGACCCGCCGCAGAAGAACACAAAAACTCTCCGATCACACTCTTAATCTCATGGCTGTTAGACGGGAGATGAAGCTACATTCTTCAACAGACTTGACAGCATACAGGCATCTGAACAGACAGATCTCCAAATGCATGCGGCGGGACTTACGCAACTTCAATACAGCTCGTATTGAAGAAGCGATCGAGCGGAACCAAGGCTCCAAAGTCTTTGCCAGAGATCTGTCTGCCAGAAAGAGCCAACTGTCAAAGCTGAAGACAGAATGTGGCAGCATCGTTTCCGGGACACCTGAGATTTTGAGTGAGATTGAGAGGTTCTATGGGCAGCTGTACACATCATCGTTGGAGCCACACGCAAGTGTGAGTAACGATCCAAGAGCGAGTCTCATCCGACACTATTCCGAAGATATCCCGGATGTCAGTCTGAGCGAGATTAGGATGGCTCTCCAGCACCTTAAAAACGGTAAGGCCCCAGGCGAGGATGGAATTACAGCGGAGCTTCTGAAAGCGGGTGGAAGACCGGTACTTGAAGTCCTTCAGAAGCTCTTTAATTCCGTCCTCCATGGTGGCATTACACCGGAGGCGTGGAGCAGAAGTGCGGTGGTCTTGTTCTTCAAGAAAGGTGACAACGCTCTCTTGAAGAACTACAGACCGATTTCCCTTCTGAGCCGCGTCTACGTGCTGTTTTCGAGAGTCATTACGAATCGCCTCGCGCGCAGACTTGACGACTTCCAGCCTCCCGAACAAGCCGGTTTCCGAAAGGGCTTTAGCACCATAGACCACATACATACCCTTCGGCAAGTTGTACAGAAGTCCGAAGAGTACAATTTGCCACTATGTCTGGCGTATGTGGACTATGAGAAAGCCTTTGATTCCGTCGAAATTTGGGCGGTGCTGCAGTCCCTTCAGCGGTGCCAAGTTGACTGTCGGTATATCGAAGTGTTGAAGTGCTTGTACAGTAGGGCTACGATGGCTATCCGAGTACAGAACCAGAGTACGAAACCTATCCAATTGCAGAGAGGTGTAAGACAGGGTGACGTCATATCCCCGAAACTCTTCACCGCTGCATTGGAAGACGTTTTCAAGCTTCTGGACTGGAAAGGATACGGTATCAACATCAATGGCGAGTACATCACTCACCTTCGATTTGCCGACGATATAGTCCTTATGGCAGAATCGCTGGAGGACCTAAGCACTATGCTCAATGACCTCAATAGTGTTTCCCAACGGATAGGTCTTAAGATGAACATGGACAAAACTAAGATCATGTTTAATGTCCATGTCACACCTATGCCGATAGTTGTTGGGAACACTAAGCTCGAAGTTGTTGACGAGTATGTTTACCTGGGACAAATAGTCCGACTGGGTAAGTCCAACTTCGACCGAGAGGTCAATCGACGGATTCAACTCGGCTGGGCAGCGTTCGGGAAGCTACGACACATCTTCTCGTCAGACATACCTCAAAACCTTAAAACGAAATTGTACAACCAGTGCGTGTTGCCAGTGATGACTTACGGAACTGAGACGTGGTCCTTCACTGCTGGCCGTATGAGGAAGCTCAAGGTCGCTCAGCGAGCTATGGAGAGGGCTATGCTCGGAGTTTCTCTGCGTGATAAACTTAGGAATGAGGATATCCGCAGTAGAACCAGAGTGACCGACATAGCCCAACGGATTAGTAAGCTGAAGTGGCAGTGGGCCGGCCATATAGCTCGAAGAACCGACAACCGATGGGGAAGAAAGGTTCTCGAGTGGCAGCCTCGTACCGGTAGGCGAAATGTAGGGCGTCCCCCCACGAGATGGAGTGACGACCTGGTAAGACATGCAGGAAGTCGATGGATGCAGGTGGCTCAGGACCGTGTTTTGTGGCATTCTTTGGGGGAGGCCTATGTTCAGCAGTGGACTTGTGAAGGGCTGTAATGATGATGATGATGATGATGATGTATGACTACTGTGTGTTTTATCAGCTCACCACCTAGTTACCCCCTCTATTTCCATTACATCTTATAAAGTGTACTGTCGAACATATGCCTCCCTAATAATTTGCATTCTAGGTGAGATTTTGCTATAGTTGCCACGGTTAGCAGGCGGGTTGGCAAGCGCAGTTATTTATTATTTTTGTTTGTTATTTACTTATGAGGAAGATTCTGTCACCCATGTCTTATTTCAGTTTCCCCCTGTTACCTCATGTCCCCACGGAACAAAATAGTAGATGTTTTTTTATTTTTTTATTGTTACACCAGCAGTACACTGTTGCTCTTACTACAGGAGCTACAAATATAACCGGCCCCCTGTCCCAGGACACCAGAACCTGGTCAATGTTAGCTTATTGATAAATATAACATAACATTGTGGCCGGTGGAAGGAAAAGGGGGAGATCTCCCGCCGTGCAAGGTATACAGCCCGCCCAACGCTCCGAGTGGTAGTTCGGAGCTATTATATATATACTGCTTTAACTTCGGAACTTTGTTAGCGCGATTTAGGCTTCGATGTGTTTCGCTTGTGGCGCGACGACAGCGTCGCCACATTATAAACAATCACGCTCATGTCACCCATAACGGTAGACAGAGACTACGGATTACCATTTGGCACGATCCTGACACATATCTCTCGCTTCTTTTACATGTATATACCAACGCATACATGCATATTGATATCTTTAAATTATAAAACGGTTTATTACAGAAAGAAGTGCTAGAAGAGGTGTCGGAGCCCGTCATGTTTATGTTGCCCGGGTTGGAAGGATGCGCGGCAGCCATGGAGCCTCTGTGTCGCAGACTAAAAATTAAAATATGTGCGCTACAACTCGGTGTAGAGTTCAAGAATGACACTATAGAACAAATGGTCAACCGATTATACCAGGTAATTTGTTAATAGAAACCATTTTCTACCTTCACTGCTCAACATACAGGTAGACTTAGAATGTTTGCGCACTGTATTCGATACCAACTCGATCTAAACCCGAGAAATGTTGATCCAACCATAGATATAGTATTTATACTAAATCATAGGTTTGGATTAATTTCATCAGTTTCATCAGATCAGTTTTTTTCTTCTTTTTTTTGTTTTGTTGTACTTATGCCAGTGTTAAGTAATAAGAAATTATCATTTATAATAATTTGTTTAAAAACTTCTTTACGAGATGTTGTTGCGTCACATTGCGAAATTTTTGGGCGATTTTGACGTCAGCTTAAGCCAGCAGACAGTCGATGACGACAGTATCGCAAGGCGCCTATGTAGCGCAGCAATACGTGTTAGCTAGTGAAAGCGACATCCGATTTTTTTCGGATTCAGATTGAACGCAACATACAATCGACTCCCGAATTCGGTTCGAGTTTTCCAGATTTTTGTTCACTCGGATTCCAATCGAATTCAGATCGGAAACAGTGCGTAACGCTTTTTTATGAGGAACTGGTGTTGTCCTCTATGTGGTACTTTTTTGTTAAAAACAAATAATCGAAAATAAAAAATTAAATATAATAAAAGTCCACTGCTAGGCCTTACCCATTTTGTGGAGGATGGATGAGGAGGACCAATTGTCCACTGATAATCATAGGCCTCCCCCAATACACCGCCTCACAGAGAGGACACGTGCCATAGTTTCCACGCTTTTCAGGTGGGTCGACAACCCCAGTTTTCCACGATTTTAAGTTTTTGTTAGGAAGATACTGCTGCCACCTGTTTTGTTTACATCGGTCGCCTCTCACGACACCCAAGGGATAATATATAGTGCATTCTCTTTCACCAACAATTCACGGCTAAGGCTTCTTATTTATCAGACTGTTTTGGTTCATCACTTTACATAGACTTTACTGTAAGAAGGTGAGAATATTTCCCATAGATACCATGCTTGGTAGGCGCGTTGGCAATTGTAGATTTTTATTTTTATTTTCTAGTAGTTGTTAGGAATATACTGCTACCTATCTCCTGGTTTGATTCCCTCTGTCGCCTTTTACGACACCAACGGAATGATATGGAGTAGTGTATATTCTTACACCACTCCACGTTGTTTCTAAATAATTGTTAGAATTTCGATCACAGGCGGTGCCAGTTAAATCAAATTAGCTACCATCATGAAATAATACGTTAGTTAAAATTGAAATAGATCTTTCTCCTTTAAATAATTGCATATTTCTATTTCCTTTGATCCTTAATAGAAGCTTTTTATTCCTTTGATGTGTCTAGTATATTAAAATTCTTGTTATTTTCAAAGACGGTGAGGACTCGTTTGATCCCTGGTGCGCCTTACATACTTCTCGGCTACAGTTTCGGCACGCTACCTGTTTTAAAATTAGCAGCCGCATTGGAGAACGACGGTAACTTTTTAAGAATTCTATTTTAATTTATTTTATGTATATTACCATAACACGTATTCACATATCGTTTAATAAATTGGCATGTATATTAATTAATGGCAAAATAAAGCTGCAGCGTTATTATAACTATAGCTATGCATTTTGATTCTTAATTGAGGATAAATGTCTATGAGCCACAGCATTCACAAAATATCAGGTGGACTGTGTGCTTGTTTGTCACAGTTATTCTTTAAAAAAATATACACTTATATTTATTAATGTGACATTTATTCGCAGGTCACACGGGAATTGTGTTCTGTATTGACGGAGCGCCAGACTTCTTATATGGACTCCTTACTATGACTATCAATACAAATAATGACTCCCTGCTTCAGAACAGTCTTATTTGTCACACTATTGACATTATATCTCCTGGCAATAAAGTCACTAATACCCTCATGGAGAAACTAAATGACATAGAATCGTACGAAGATAGAATCAAATACGCTGTTAAGTTAACCCCAGTACAAACTAAGTACTCGCCCGAATTTATTAGTTCTATCGCATCTTCGAGTTACGATCGTCTAAAGATCGTACTGAATTTCAAACCAAATGAGAAGAAGCTGAAAGCGCCTATTGTTCTCCTTCGTCCCAAAGAAACACCAGCTTTCCTTACATGCGAGGAAAATTACGGTCTAGACAAATTTACAGAGAGTCCAGTCACTGTGCATTACTTAGAAGGTAACCATGTCAGCATTATTGAAAATAAAGATTGTGCCAATATTATCAATAGGATCCTAGCTGATAAGGCTAAAGAAACAAGGAAAACTCCGCTTAATATTGTTACTAGTATGGTTGAAAACCAACGTTCGGTTCAAGTATAGATCATATTTAATATTGCATAGAGAAAAGTTGTGTAGTGTGGTTGAATTTAACTTAAGTCGGTGAAAATTTGTGGCTTTAGTCTTTACTAATACTACTATTATTAACAATATTTATTAAAATTTGCTTAGTGGTTAGTTAGCATTTAAGTTTAATGTTAAGTTACCTCTGTTAAATATTAGAGAGACCAGTACCAAATAAAATATTCACTAGCTAATTTAAAATTGTAATTCAGTAGACAATTTGAGAATCGGGCATATAAGTGTATTTCATATTTTATAATATCTATTAAATTATTGTTCTGAGTTTTAGGTGTGATTTGTGTTATGGGCTTAGTAAATATATCGTTCATTTTTATATTTACTCTTTTATTTTTCTAAACGCTCCCTTTGCTAGTACCAAGTGATATCAGCTTAAGTGAATCTATCATCGCATTTCGTGTTTTGGGTTTCATAAGGGACGACTATAGGATTTAAAAAAAAAAACTAAAGTGACAAACAAATTACATGTCTACCTGAATAACTACTGCTAATCCATGGACAATTGCAATACAATACAAACACTCACGCCTGTCACCCAGAGGCAGAGACTACGGACTTCCATTTGGCGCGATCCTGACACACCTCTCTCGCCTCCTTTACATCCTTATATTTACGCATACACGCTCGTCGGTTAAGGGTACTCCTAATCTGGCCCATTTTCAATGTATCGCCGATTTGGTCGATAAATCTTCGTCTAGGGCGTCCCTTCCCGACTGTTCCGTTCACTTCTGAACCATAAATTTGCTTTGTCACTCTTTCCTCGTTCATTCTTTCTACATGGCCAAACCACCGAAGCATTCCTTTTTTAACCCTAGTCACAACGTTATCTCGCAAACCACACTTTTCTCTTATCACACTATTACTCACCTTGTCATTCAGATTGAGCCCTAGCATACTCCGCTAATATATTGTATAACTATATTAATTAGGATAATTGCAGCTAACTTTAAACAAAGAAGGTATAAAAGCGTTGTCACCACTAAGGACTAAGGATGCGTTTACATTCTATAATTATATAGACTCTCTATAATCTTCATACCGGAACACGTTAGGTCAAATTTGTTATTTGACAGCAGAAAATGGTATTAGAAGGGTGGTACTTATCCAAATGCACGCCTGGATAGACAAGATCACCCATCACTTAGCATTTTTTAACATTTCACATTCGCCACATTTATGACATCATATGATCTGTTAACCAAGTAGTTATCATAAATTCCGATGAAAAAATTTAAATTACGGGTGGATATAAAAACAGATATACAAAAATATTACCCTCCTGTTAAGGATCATCGTAGTTGGGTAAAAATGAAATGCATCATCAAATCCATATTTAGTTAATATTATATAATATTTTATTCAATATAGATCACATGTGTAATTCTTATTAAAAGTCATTTTTTACTTTACCACTGGTTCGAAAAAAACCCTCTGTTCTGGAAAGAACCAGCAAGAAACACAGCGGGATTTTTTTAAAGTAAATATTATTACATTAATGATTGTACAAAATATTTACAAAATTTATTTTAGAAACTGCTTGCCATATCATTCCGATGGGTTATTATCAGCCATTAATTCATTTATATTATAATAACCCTTTATATACATTTTCAGCTTAACAAAATATTTAAACTTGGTAATAGAGAAAGCCAGTACACTTTCCGGGATCTTGTTGTAATAGCGTATACATTGCCCCAAGAATGAATTACTGACTCTGTGGAGTCGAGAAACTGGTATCACTAGCTTGTGTTTGTTCCTAGTGTTTACGGAATATATATCACTTTTTATACTAAAACTACCTTTGTTTTTGTGAACATACATTAAATTTTCGTAAATATACTGAGAGGCAAAGTTAATATATTTATTTCTTTAAATTTATCTCTAAGATACTCTCTCCGTTTTAGGTTGTACACAGCTCAAATGGCCCTCTTCTGTAAAACAAAAATTGTTTTTGAATCAGCCGCATTTCGCCATAGAAAAATCCAATAAGACATTATGCTATGGAAATAACTTAAATAAACTAACCTAGCTGTCTCGACACTAGTGAGACCTCTAATCTTTTATACAGCACGCTGCAGAACTTAGTCTGCTTCCTAGTTTGGATATATGGGGGCCCCACTGAAGTTTTGCGTCAAGAGTGATGCCAAGAAAAGCAGTGGATTCAACAGGGCTCAGTTTTTCCACATTTAAAAACTACCCCACATCATCCCGTGGGTTTCGTAAGAGGCGAAAGAGGAAAACTGAAACAGAAGATGGGAGCAGCGTCTTCGTGGTAACAGCTAAAATAATTAACTGTGGTTGTCAACCCGCCTGCCAAGAGTGGCAACTATGGCAAATATCCCTATGCAGCAATATATGGGCATTTGCATTGGACATTTTATAACCGTAACCGTAAAAATAAATATAAACTATGTTGTAAAGGCGAATGGGATTTTTGAGCCTGAAGTTAAGTAATTGTTAACTAAATAATTATACTTTAAAAAATTGGCAATCTTTACTTTTGGCCTTACTTACAATCTGGATTTCGAAAAAACAATAAAATAAGAAATAAGTTAGAAAATCGATTGTAGTGTATAATTTATGGCAATAAATTACCATAAAGAACACACTAGTGAAATTCTCGTTTTTGAAAGTTGTCTTCCAATCATTTTGAAACTTGCCTTGACAGTTCAAACTTCGAACTATTTACTAAAAAGAAAACGACAGATTTTCGATTCGATTTGAAGCAATATAATCGATTTTCGATTAAATTGACCATTGTAATATCTCTTTTCGATTATTTTAAAAAAATTACAAAAGCATTGTCTTCATATCTACAAAATAATAATATTAAATACAAAATATCAAAACTCCAATAAGTAACAGTTACAACAACAGTTCAAGTCTCACATCGATATCCCTAATATTCACTTCACTTTAATACTTTATAAAATTTTAGAATTAGTTTTTACATACTCTCTAAATATAACACTACTTTTATATCATCTTTCATTACAAAGCTCGTACAACCTTCGCCTACTTCTATAAATTCATACTGTCGCCCATTCATTAAATGATTTGCGACTGTTAAAATAGAAAGTTTTAAAAGTAAATATTCTACTAAATTCACAACTTATAATTATAATTTTATAATTTTAAAAGCAATATTACGAAGCGCGCGACGCAGTGTCGTTTGCCGAGGCGTCGCGCGCCACGAGACAGTCGTTTTGCTCCGTTGAACTGCGAGGTCGCGTGTAAAAGGAAGCCTCTAATTCGTGTCGTGTTAGTACGTTTACGTAACGACGAGGCGTTTTGTCTTGAGTTTGAGTGATTAACTTAACTTCGCTTGAAAGTAATTTACGTTAATTTGTATAGTGATTGCATGTTGAAGTGCATTTTGCAATATTTATTTTGTTTGTGGCATTTTAATATCGTACGAAAGAACTTTGTTTGTCGTGTGGAACGCTGAACTTTGTGACTCGAGAAGAGACCGCGTTCATTCTCGTGTTTATAATGTTGTGCTAAGTGAACCTGGAACATTGAATATTGAACTTTGATCGACTGTTCTTTACTTGTGTCGTGTGTCACTTGTTTTAATTCGATGAACGTTGATTTTGTTGAATTTGAAGTTAATTAAATGTACAATAAAGTTAATAGATTGAAATAGTGTACGATAAAGTTGATAAACTGAAATAGTGAAATCGAAACAGAAGGTTTCAATTGGGGATCGCACATTTGGAGATAAGCAGCGCCTGTGGATCTGCGGTCCGACTTCAACGGTTAAGTCAGGTTACATTGTACACACTACTACACACTACTTACATGACTGGTACCCTGTGGTCAACCCTACCTCCGGAGATCGGTAAGTTTTGTTTGATTATCAGCCGTTTAAAAATAATTGTCCATAGGCCAATGGGCTCCACATTTGGTTTCTCGTCAAGTGTTCCGCTGATGGGCCCCGGGATAGTCGACCCTTGTCGGGGCAACTGAGGGCGTGTACAAAGGTGGTAGCAGAGCGTGGTTGATTAGTTCTCCAATCGCCCGGCCGTAATATAGATAAAAATAGTACGTAATAAAAATTAATTTTTTTTTGTTTGTAGCGGGTAGAATTAAAAACCACGCCCGTTAGGCTGCGCAAGCCGGAGTGTAGTTTGGTTAGGGTTACCTACTCGTCAGGTATTTCGGGCAAGTAGATTGAATTGCCGAAGGCTCGGTCGCTTCAGCAAGGCATCTTTGCTGACCGACGGTAGTGTATTTGCCGTGTAGTGTAATTTGTATTTAACTTAATTTAATAGTAATTGTATTTGTTATTTGTTAATTTGATTTGTATTTGTGCCGCGTATTCATTTGTATTTAGTAGTGATGCCATTGCACAAACTACCGGAGCGTCGCCTGAAGGCGGAACTGCGCTGGGCTGCCAACGCCCATACTTTGATGGGGCGACCGGATCGGGTCTATACTTTAGAGAAGCGGCTCGAACCGCTTCTCTAAAGTAAAGTGCCCAGGGAGAGGCGGAATCCGCCGGGCAAGTCTTCGCCAACCCCCTTAAGGCCGAGCGGAGCTCCCGCGGGAGGGCGCCGCCCCTTACCATCCTATAGCGGCCTAGCGGCCAGGGAGGTGCCCCCCTGCTCCTATTGTCGAGCATCCGATCACCGGGCGACGTCGTGCCCTAAGTTGCTGTGTAAGCCGGTCCCGGCGAGGCGAACCATCGCCAAGGAGCGCCGCTGGTGCTACTCGAGCCTGGAAAGGCATCTCCAACGAGATTGCCCGCACCAGCGGCCCTGCCCGCACTGCCAGGGCAACCACCATGCTATTTTGTGCCTGGGTGAGAGCGGCGCGTCATCTCGGGGCCCCCCCGGGCCCCCGACTCACACGGGCGGGGGCGCTCAGCCACGCCCTCTGTCGGGCGACGCTCGGTGCTCGCCTGCCGACCACCGTGCCCCTCGTTTCGAAGGGGGTCCCTCCCCCGACCGGTCGGGGGG